TGTGTGTGTGTGTGTGTGTGTGTGTGTGTGTGGTACCAGGGATTGAACTCAGGACCTTGAGCTTGCCAGGCAAGTGCTTATTCTCCTGAGCTATCTCCCAGGGCATATATATGATGTTATATAAGATAGGAATTTTACCCAGGTTGTAGGACTTTAAAATTCATGCTCCTAATATGTAGACTAGGTACTTAAATTTGCTTTTTTTTAATGACTTTAGGACAGGGTGTATAGGATGTACAGGGACTCACTACATAGATTAGACTCATAGCAATTCTCCTGTTTTCAGCCTCCCTAGCACTGGGATTACAGGCGCGCCCCACAGTGCCAGGTCTCAATCTCATCTCAGCACCCCTTAGGGGTAGGGCCAGCACCACACACTGGGGATCAAACCCTCTCTTGCACTCCACCAAAGAAGGTACTTTAGTTCGCTGAGAAATCTGGCCAGCCCTAAATTTGCTTTTTAAATAAAATCATTAAAGATAAATTGGATGAGTTTTTAGAAGTTGCTGATATTCTGCTCTTACACCAAATGTTTCTATTTCTTTCTAAAATACATTTACTTAGATTTTCAAAGTTTTTATTTTCATATTTTAAACTAATTTTCCATCCTGTTGTGGTCTTTAACAATACTAAAGGGAAAAAATAGAAATATGTAACATTTTAAAATTTTAATGCAGTAGAAATAGACATTAATAGAGATAGTGCTAAAAGCACTGTTCTCACTGTTTTGAAAAATAAAACAAAATTCAGAATATAATAATTCGAGAAAACAATAGTTAATATATTGTGTCCTGATCCTAAGGAATGGCCAAAAGGTCTAAAAATCTCTCCTGCAACAAAGAAACAGATGAAAGGAAAAGAGAAAACAAGCTTTCTTTTCAATGAACAAAGAGATCATAATTGTAAGTGGAATGATTAATTGGCAAACTATGGATGATCAACTGTTGAACATTAACATAACAGTACAACACCATATTGAATTCAAAATCTTGTATCATCAGTTATTAAATTGAGCACAGTTCAATGCATAGCTTTCCCACACTAAACACATTTTTCCAAGTAAACAGTCAAGAATACAGTAGATCAATTTTAAAAATCATGACTTCTAGAAAGACAAAATAAATGACTGACCACTTAGCTTTGGACTGGGCGTTCCTAGTGCAGGTCTAGGGTCTTTCACCAATATTTTAGAACCAGCTATGAAAAGAAATGAGTGTTTACTAAAGTCGACACAATTAATAACATGCATATATACGAATGCACTTAATACAATAAGCTATCAATTCTACTCTTTCAAATTATAACATTTTTCTTCAAAATGTTCTATTCACAACAATATTTCATTTTCTTTCCAAAAATACTTTTACTATATATCTAAACATTTCCATAATTACTCTTATCATAATCCAGTGAGACAAGAACCAGGTTGTTCCTGGATTTTCATCTTGGGATGACATTTCTCAGCGAGGAGACAAATGCAATGAATGCAGTTGCTTCCAGTGTGAAAGCCAGAGGCTGAGAGTATGTTTTTGTTGATAAAAAGCAAGAACTATTTGTAGGTAGAGTTTGCATTTGAGAATTAAAATTTCTTCAAATAAACTCTTGCTGTACCCAAAGTCGAACAGAGTCAAAGCTGTAATCTTTGACACTAAACTAAAGGCAGCCCAGAGCACAAAATCCATGTAGACTATAGTGGAGGAATGGAACTGTAGGCACTTATGATGCTGCCATGTTGCTTTGTAGAGCGTGTACATTATGTACACTGTGATGTCTTCAGAGGGACTTGAAAAGAGGTGATATGACTGATACTATTTTTGGCTGCAAAATGAAACATATTTGGAAATGTTGACAGGGTGAAGATCACTTGAAATAAAGTTGAAGCAGTCCCAGCTGAGATAATGCTAAGGTACGCTACCCACAGCAGAAGTGACAAAGCAGGTAAGGCAGCCAGGGAAGTCAAAAGATAAAGGGAAAAAGGGAAGAGAAAGAAGGGAAAAGATATATGTATGTATATGTGCAGGATAGTTTAATAATTATACTACTGATTTCTGGTGTTCTACTGAAAGGAGCAGTTAATGTTTAAATTATTTTTTAAATTTTTTTCTTGCTTTTAGCTTATTTTTTTTACGTTTTGCATGTTTATATCTGGTAACCTAAACAACTAATTTGAAGATAACATGCAAGACAACAATGATTATCAAATTCCTTTTACTTTCTTTAATGAAATTTTGTATTGTTTGTAATGATTTTTTTATCATTTTGTGTTCTTTTAAAAATAAGAACATTTTACAAAATTAAAAAAAGAGCAATAGAAAATTCGATGCATTTAGATAGAATAACATGTAGGGTGATTATTAGGTTTATTGTTTGTCAAATCATCCCATAAATATAGCACTGAAACAGGGAGTAATTACAGTAGAGGAAACTCATGAATTCAATGTCACATATGTTGTGTACAGAAATGCCTTTGAAGAAGTGTAGTAGAGATATGGAGTAAGCTACTGAATAGAGATCTGAGGTTACAAGAAGGTGAATGAGATAGAAATGATAATTTGTATGTAATTTCCATAAAGGAGAGTATTGAAGCCACTAATTAGAATGATATCCCTTCAGTGAAAACTTGATTGAAAGGAAGATATGATTAATTACTAAGCTTTTTGAAAGTGTAGAAATAATAAGTTCATACAGAAAGTGGAGAATACATAAGCAGAATTAGTACGCCATGAAACATTTAATTGTTCACTAAATACTTACTGAGCATTTTCTCACAAAAAGCGCTAGTCTAGCTGTTACAATTAACAACAGCTGTAAACAGTTTGAACAGAGTCTGTTGCCACTTGGATTGTGTTCTAGTTAGAGGGTGAGCAACGGGAGGGCAAGGAGGTGTAAATGGCTACCAACAAGGGAATGCATTAAGACTACAATATTTTCTCCAGTAGGAAAATTTTAAGAAAGAAAGAAGGAAGGAAGAAGGGAAGGAAGAAAG